AATGTTGTCTTAAGTGTTGTGCAAAAACTGTTTAATCCTACCAGAACAATACTTAGCGTCAGTGTCTTAGCCAACTTTTGTTTACCTGACGTATACGTAGCACCAACAATCTCTAGTGTTTTGTCCAAATGGACGGGCTGTGATTGAGCTGTACCTTGCTGAAGGGCACTATGCCAGATATTGTCTTCAGTGAAGAGGACGTGTACTTGTAAGCCTATAGGTGCAACAGAAATACAGTTTTGCAGTAAGTAATTGCCATACGTAGTGAAGTGGTGCAAAATGTTTCATCTGAACTGCAGTCAGTAATGGACTGTGTCTCATTCAGAGTTTACACACACACACACACACACACACACACACACACACAGAGGGTTATTCACAAGAGGTACTCTGACGTGGGAGTAGAGAGAGAGAGGCCTGTGTATTCATTCGTCTCTCTCATTCTGTTGTCCTTTTGTCTTTCACTCTCTTTCCCCCCTTTCCTCTGAATTTCTCTGGTCTTATGATTGTCTGCGGCTGATAAGAGGAAGTGTGTGTCACTTTGTGTAGATACAGTAGTGTTGTAGAATGTGACGTGCAGTAGAAATGTGACAGGGCCGGCTATTTAAATATGGCTAGCTCATTTCTCTGTTTCAACATCTTTGTTTTCTTCAGGCTCCCTCTCTCTCTTTGTGTGTTTGCATGAGCGTACTTGTGTGTGAAGAGGAGAGAAAACACGGATACACGGCCTGGATAAACAGGTCAAAGGTCGACAGACTGGCAGGCCAGACACATGAATCAAACCCACACTGCACCACTCTCAAAGTGAGAAGGAGAAAAGGGGGTAAATCCTTGTAGGAAAGCTGTGAGAGCTCTGACTTAGCGGTTGATTAATAATTCCTGGCAAGGACGGAGAGAGACAGAGGATGTAAATGCTCAGGAGTTGATGAATGCTGCCTGAAAGTAGTGAACAGAGAGCAGGAGAGATAACGGGAGTGTGAAGGATGCTGTCACATACCTGAGAAAAGTGGCTCATAAATATTTGTGTTTTCCCTCAGGAGAGTTTAAAAGGATTTTCTAATGTTAAACACACAATTAGATTACCGTAATCCTTTAAGACACAGAAACCTAAATATTTTGTGATACGCGGACTCCAGATGACAGCAGCTGTGTGTGGGTAGGTCTGTGTGTGTCTGTGTGTGCAGCTCCTTCCATGTGTTTGGCGTTCCATGACTTCCCACAACCCCCTTCAGCCCCAGGGATTAATACCTGGGTCGGGTTGGCATGGCAACTGTGACGCTGGGCTATTGCCATGGGAGAGAATCGGGAAGAGAGAGTGAACGTAAGAAGGCCGGAGAGTAAAGATATTCTGTTGACTCGGTCTACAAATGCTGCATTTGTGCATGATGGGACTTTCTTTTTTTTTGCTTTGTATGTTTGTAATCTACACAATGCACCTAAAAGTGTAATAAGGTTGTTTATTGCTGCCCCACAGCACAACATTACAGCATTATGAGCTGAGGATTGATTGGACTGTTGATCAATACCAGTGACTCAACAATTTCCTGGCCAGCTGCTGAGGTTTCTGGTAGAAATGTGGGAGAGGTGAATGAGAATAGTGGAGAGAGAGAGAGAGAGGGAGAGAGAGGTGAATGGGTGTATAGGAGAGATAGAAGGGGAAGGAGGAGAGGCTTAGCCGATAATTCTTCTTAAAGCTCAGATGAACAGCTGATGCACCATGCACTTAATTCAATTACACACACTCCCAGTGGACTTGTGTGTGTGTGTGTGTGTGTGTGTGTGTGTGTGTGTGTGTGTGTGTGTGTGTGTGTGTGTTTATGACGCTGTCACTTCCTTTTTTTAAGAGCACTGATTAGAAAAACTGAAAGAGATGAATAGAAACTGATGTATTTATTACCAGCCAGAGAGTTTATTGTTTCTCATCAACACAATGTAGTTCTTCTTCACATGAAGGTTTTTAAAATAATGAGCGGGATCACCGCAGCTGTGCACGTCTGCCTTTTTTATATGAGGAGTTAATTTCCCAAACACTAGGACGGCAACTAATTATTTTTATCGATCAATCTGTCAGTTATTTTGCCCACAACACAAGGTCTTTAAAAGTCTTACAATAGAGACGCTGAAACTAGCTTTTCTTTTTTGAGAACTTGAACAATTAATAATCAAAATTGGCAATTTATTTATAATAAAACACAAGTTCATCATATATATGAGTTATTGTGTGTATTTGAATGTTTAATAATAGAAATACAGTGTGGCCAAGTCTGTCAGTGAGTGTGTGGGAGGATGTGTGTTTGCGTAGGTGAACTAAACTTGTCTTTTTCCTCGGGGTCCATTGAATACCAGGAATCTGGCTCTGCTTATGTGTGTGTGTTTTCACAGATATCATCATACACGCAGCGCCTCAGGCGAGTGTAAAGTTATGTCATCATGAAAGTGTTGTTACTTCACAGTGAGAAAGCAAATTCCTTGAACACATGGCTCCAGGGAAACTCAGATTTTGTTTTAAAAGAAGTTCGACACAAGAAATTAAGCAGGAAGAAAAACATATTCCCTTATTTGAGCTGCTGCTGCTGCCATCTTTGACCGGTCGCACTGTCAGATCTGAAATATGATTAATTCAATTCAGTATGAATGTGAAGTCAGTCAGCCCTCCCTTGATGAGTAGGATAAATAAAGGTGAGAACATAATGTCCTATTATGGTAATTAAATGTGTAGTACTATAGTCTGCACTCTGTTTTTGCTCTACCTTCAGAATGTTATAAAAAACCTGAATAAAAAAATAACCTGAATTCTGTCGTCTTTGCATACACTTGCAGTTAGCTCACTATGTTAATCAGTCAGTCGGTATAATGTCTCCCTCTGTCTTACTTCTTGTTGAACACAAGCAATTTCATTAAATGTGTGTTCGACTCACTGCAGCTCCTCGCATCAGCACGACTAAATCTCAACAGACAGAGAGAAAAAAAGAGGCTGCTGCGTCGTTCATCACTCCATCGTTTCACACATGGCAGCTATACAGTCTAACATAACCCAGTGTAATCTAAGCCTGGTGCATTCAGGAGTGTAGTAAAATGGAACCTCATTGAAAGCCAGTGTACTCTTTTTGTGTTGTGTTTATTTAGATCAACAAAAATCAAAGAAAAATTGGTTGTAAGATTGATCTTAACACATCGCGTTAAATCATTTAAACTTGAAATAAAGAAATAAGATATTTGCAAAGTGGGTCAGTAGCAATGTGATGCAGTGTGCTTCGTACTGAGCTGCGGAGATTTACAGAGATCCTAATGTCGTTTACAAATAAGGAAATGTAACCAGAAGAACATGAAAGGGATTTTATGTAGTTTTATATTATGCCAACAGAGATGGAGAGTTGAGGGAGGAGTGCGTCTCCCAGAGCAGCAGAGTGTCAGCTACAAAAATGAAGGCATCAGTAAATTCCTGCTTTTGTATTCTTGTTGTGTTTTTCTCTATCTCTCCTCTTTGTCTCTTTTTTTCTGTGCTTTCACTTTTTTCACTCGTGTGTAATTTATTCCTAAAGAATTTTGAACAAGGCAAGTTTGCTGACAGGATTATGAAGCAATAATGAGATTCAAACACTGCGAATACAAAACCAAATGTCAGTTTCACGACTTGCTGCCTAACATTTTACCTCCTTTCTTACTTACTTATTGTTTTATTGTCTTTTCCTCCCTCTACGCCCCTCATCTCCTGTGCATTGTTAATTTGCCTCATTTTCTATTTCTGCTTCGGTTTCCTGCTGACACTCTGCTCTTATAATACACTTTTTGTTTTTTGTCGTGCACTCAACATACAGACTCAGTATAGCGCATTTTGCCTGCAGGTCAGAATGTCTCACTTTGTCACTAATAACCAAAACAACTAATGATGGATGAATGGCTGGATTGCATTTGTTTGACACTTCACAGAAGCTGCATGCCGACCCTTAAACCAGACCCAAAACTAACATATGTTAGTTTTAAATGTAATTTCAAGGCTCTTCTTTACACTGACTTGAGACTTCACGTGATATTTTCTCATTTCTGTGGTGGAATTATGGTTCAATTTACAGTAATAGCATCTAATGTTACTAACATCTCATAACTGCCCATCAGCATGTTCCACTGTGATGCATCTGGTCATGGCACTTTCCCTCTGTAATCTTTTAAAATGGAGTTCAGAGACAAATACATTACTTTAATTAGACAGACGGAGAGAGAGACAGCATTATAGTGGCAGGATGAGGCAGCAGTTTGGAGCTCAGTGATGGATGGAGAGTGGGGTGGGGGTGGGGTACAGAGGGAGAGCACACCCAGGGGAGGAGGCCCTACTGTCAGCCTAGCACCAGTGAGACACTCCCTTGGGTGGCCCGAGGTCTAGAGGTGGTCGGAAAGATGAGGGAGAGGGTGTGTGTGTGTGTGTGTGTGTGTGTGTGTGTGTGTGTGTGTGTGTGTGTGTGTGTGCGTGTGCGTGTGCGTGCGCGGATAAGATGGATGAAGGGAAACTGTGTCTATATGCCAGCTGTGGATTGTATGAATTAGGTGAAGAATAATTCATTTGATGAATGAATGAGAAATAATTAAGATGAAGATGTGAGGACGTTGTTCGTCTTTTCCAAAATTCAACTGAGGCACAAAGACGAGCATTTTTTTTTTTATTCACACAAGTTTGATAGTCTATTCTAGTACAGAAGATTGATTTCAGAAGCCTCACAGTTTGAGAACGACTGGTTTAACATAACCATTTGATTTTTAATGTAACAACATATTGATGCCAAGATAATGCTGCAGTAATTGTCACTTTTTTGTTTTGTCGATATTAGTTCAAGCCATATAGCAGTTAAAATTGCCATTATCCTTTATATTTTTTGTATTTTTTTTTACATTTGAACTACCTATTTGTGAAATATTCTCTATAGACCTATGTGTACTCTTATAATTGAGATCTGACAAGATTAATGGACTCTGACAATAATTTTCTCCTTTAAAATTTCTTTCAGCTGTTTCGGGAGGTACGCATCATGAAAACTCTCAACCATCCCAACATAGGTGAGTTACACTCCAGAGAATCATCTTGTGTGTTTGGAGACGTTGAGTGTACAGTATGTGTGTGTTTCGTGCTGTCCTTTGTGTTAACCTCTCTTCCTCTGTGTGTTACAGTGAAGTTGTTTGAGGTGATTGAGACTGAGAAGACTCTTTACCTGATTATGGAGTACGCCAGCGGAGGTGAGTAACATCCCCACCACCCTCAGCACCATTGCCAGTTATTGAATGGTGCCAATTAGATTGATTACTTTGGCTGAAGTACACACTGCAACCAATGAACTAATTCATTTAGGGTATAAACGGTTGACTTCAATCCCTTTGTCTCCATTTTCATTAGTGAGATCTCATGTTTGTCTTTGTGTTAAACCACTTTGCTTAACTTCACAAACTGTTTTCTCTACTGTCTTTCTTTGTGCTCTGTGTTCAACGGTTTCTTATACGCTCTTCTATTTTTGCAGCCTCTCTATTTTTCTTTCTTTTCCTCTCATGATCCCTTAATCTCCCTCTGCTGCTCTCTCTGTATGTAGTGTGATCTCTTACTTGCAGTACCTAATAAGGAGGCAGCAGCTCACAAGCCGACATCCTGCTCTGTATAACTCAAGCTCGGACTGTTTTACCATATAGGATCTCTAGGGTCAATTGTTTGACTGGAGTGCAGAAACACACACACAAAATAGGAGACTTTCTGGAATGTGATTCAAGTGTCCAAGACACTGAATATCGAACAGCTGGGATTAAGTTTTGGATGTTAAGAAATTTCTACATACATATATTCCATTTGACTTTTCAACTTTACTGTAATGAGCTGAAAAATCAAACCAGGAAGAAGAAACATTTGAGATCATAGACTAACTTATTGGACGTCATGGATAGTTTTTTCTTTCCCACACACGGCCACATAAGCTGTCTTGAACCGGCAGAATATTGGAGGTTTTATAAACCTGGTGTAGGAGATGAAGCAGGAAACAATGCAGTGCTGAGCACTGGTGTATGCAGAATGAATAAGCACCAGAACTGTTAATGTGAATTAATTCAGTTGTTAGCAACAGTTTCTAGTCATATATCATTGGAAAGTATATGGAACCAAGTGACCACTAAATCACTTCCATGCTTGCATAAACTACAGCAAATCTCCATACTCCTTTTTCTTCCAGGCGAAGTGTTCGACTACCTCGTGGCTCACGGCAGAATGAAGGAGAAGGAGGCCAGAGCCAAGTTCAGACAGGTCAGTAAAATCACATACCTTACCTCACCTGTCGGCCTGCCCCCACACAGCAGCTGTTTTGTTCCTGGTTTAGGGGAAACCTAGATAACATGCTTTGTGACTCCCCACTCTTCCCATTCATTATACCACTGCATTGTGAGCCAAACCTACAGCTTGACCAATAGTCTGACCAGGTGAAACCATGAAAATTCAGTCACATTCTCGTTAAAATATAATCTGAATATGGGGTTTGCACCGTACCAGGTGTGGACATCTGACAGCCAGCAGTACCTTGTGGTTGGAAAACAAAGCAGAACAAAATAAGAAAAGAGAGAGATGAAGAGGAAATATACATTTATTGAATCACTGAAATCTGAGCAGTTTGACAGTTCATGTGAGTTATTGTTTATAGTCGCTACTTTGCTTGTAACTGGACAGTGTGAACCTAGAGCAGACCAATACTGAAATGCAATAAACTTTACCACTGCGGTTTAGATCAAATAAAAGAAACAGTAGGTGCACAGCAAGAAATTCTGTTTGTTTTTCATAATGTTGTGTTATATCGTTGGTCAAGGAGGGCATGTGAATAGAGCTACCATTTACATGTAATTACCTTTCTCCATTTGATGTCTGTTTTTCTCTTCCCTCTCCTCAGATTGTCTCAGCGGTGCACTACTGTCATCAGAAGAACATTGTTCACAGAGACTTGAAGGTGATTACACAATGTTAGAAGAAAAAGAGTGATAAGGGTCTATGAAGCTTCTTCAGATAAATATCACATCATACCATATCATCATAAACACGTATTAAACAGACTGCGTGTATTCAGTTTACATATATTAATGAATGAGATAGTAACAAACGTTGACTTTCTACAATTCAATCATGAGGTTACTGAAATGATGTTACCTTTTATTTATATGTGCAATTGCATAAGTTGATTTTTATGTCTATGTTGTTTCGTGCAGGCGGAGAATTTACTACTAGACGCTGACTCCAACATCAAAATAGCTGACTTTGGCTTCAGTAACGAGTTCTCTGCAGGCAATAAACTGGACACGTTCTGTGGCTCCCCGCCCTATGCCGCCCCAGAGCTCTTCCAGGGGAAGAAGTACGACGGTCCAGAGGTGGACATCTGGAGCCTGGGTGTCATCTTGTACACTCTTGTCAGCGGGTCATTGCCCTTTGACGGACAGAACCTAAAGGTGGGTGGTGTGGATGCTGTTAAGGTGACTGAAAGCTCCCATGAAGAGATTTTTTAGGTTTTGGCTTACTGCAGTGAGTACAGTGAAAGAAAGAACTGTAGCTTTATTTGTGCTTTGTTGTTTATTCAGTTATTGTTATCAACAAGTGCTGACACATTCAGGCTTAGCACGTTAATGTGAATTGTTGTTAGTCTTAATGAACTTAATGGTAATGATAGTGTGATATCTAAACATCAAATAATCATTAAGGCTTCATCACTTTTCTAATGTAATCATTTTAAAGGGGCCCTGTGGAGTTTTCTTGTAAACAAACAAAATTTATATTTACATCCACAATGCATAGTGTTTCCTTGACGTTGAACAAATGTATTGATGTATTCTCGATTCTGTAAGTATTTTAAATCCTGCATTGTTTACTAGCTTGCAGTCTTCTTCCCAGGCGTTGTTGGCGCATTGCGGGACGTTAAGAGCACCTGTTGGTCAGTGGATTAGTGTGAGACCATTAGCAGGGATGTGTGTCATGTCACATCCCCTGCATGTCTGCATGTCCTCGTGCACATGCACAAGAAACATAGAAAAACTGCTCCACTGCGCTACTAGAGGTCAAAAATATTTCAGATCAAATAAGATTTTACTTAAAGACAATAAACAGTATTTAAATATTGCTTGGTCATGATTTTTAAATGGATTCAGTGTCCCTGTAGCAGAAACTCATTGTGTATCAATGTGTGTTGTGTTCAGGAGCTGCGGGAGCGTGTTTTGAGGGGGAAATATCGTGTACCCTTCTACATGTCTACAGACTGCGAGGGAATCCTGCGCCGCTTCTTGGTCCTCAACCCCGCCAAGCGCTGCTCGCTGGAGGTGAGGAGGAAACTTTACCAAAGCATTATTGAGAGGCACATACAGCACACACTTAAAGCATGTTCAAAGTGACCACATTGGTGTATAAATATCGAGCTGGACAATTCAGTTAAACAGTTACGGTGTAATTGTCCTTCATGTCTAATGTCTGTTAGTGATCTTATCCTTCTAGGACAACAATAATCTATTACAAGATCAAACAAATACGTTATGCCTCTCTCTCCTTCTCTTTCCTCACCAGCAAATAATGAAAGATAAGTGGATTAATGTCGGCTATGACAGCGAGGAGCTGAAGCCTCACTCAGAGCCTGTGGAGGACTTGAATGATACCAACCGCATTGGTGAGAAAGACGCACCTTTTACTGTTCATTTATTAACTCAATCATTGATCACAGAATGATTAACTGATAGCCATCTGGTGATGAGAACAGTAACTATAAACAGAAATGTTCAGTGAGGGTCAGCTGGGAACGTCTTGAGGAGGCCCCTGTCCGCAGAGTCTTCAGCTTCCACCTATTTGTTTTTGTATTTAGTGGGAGGTTGGGGACATGGAATCTGAGTGGGTCAAAGTTTCCATTACGGAAGCAGCTGTCTGGACCCACAGAGTCATCATTTAAAGTTCACTGTTCAACATCCCAGAGAAAGCTCATACCAGAGTTCTGGCATTTTATCTCACTCTCACAAGCTTCCTTTATGTATGTCCTATGGGACATCATAATTCAGTAAGCATAAAAGCTTAAGCTGACCTACATGGTTCCTCAGACATGTTCTCACAGGAAGCTCTTGGCAGGTAGTAATTTCAGTGCACTGAGCAGAGCTCTGAGGTTGAACCTTTCATAAATGTACAGAAGCTCAACTTAAGAGTAACTTGTCACTTGCTGGGGAAATTGTGGACTAACTATTTTTATTTTTGTTCCAGATGTGATGGTTGGGATGGGCTTCACTAGAGAAGAGGTCAGAGATTCGCTGGTCAGTCAGAAGTACAATGAGGTCACTGCCACATACCTGCTGCTGGCACGCAAGAACGATGTGAGTTTATTGGCTTTGCTCTTAAAATGTCTTTTTGGTTTTGGGGTTTTTCTTCTGATCTTTCTCTGTATTTATGTGAAATACAAGGTAATGCTTTACGACTTTAGTTGACGGTGTATATTATATCTCTTGCGAGACAAGCAATCATAAAATGAAGAATACCAGAGAATTGGAGTCACATTTGGGATGCAGCTTTTTATTATTAGTTTATTAGCAGTTCATAATGCTAATCTTAAATTGTTTACAGCTGTGCTAGTCATTAAGTTGCAGTCACAGTCAAAATACAGTAGAAATTATTTAATATGTTTTAACCAATATACGTTTATGAATATATGATGCCCTGAGAGAAACTGTACAACAACGCCAGTCATACTGAAAGTGTAAATCTTTTTTTTTCTGCTTCTCCTTTCAGAAGGATGACAGTGAGTCTCGGTCTGGCAGCAGTCTGAGTCTAGCTCGAGTCCGACCCAGCACCATTACCAACGGAACCAGCAAACACACCACTCCCACGTCCTCCTCTGGCGCATCTTCTTCCTCCTCTGGCCACAAGGCACAGCGCAGTGCCTCCACTTACCACCGCCAGAGACGGCACTCTGACTTCTGTAAGGCAAAATATAGAGATCAGTGACACAGTGGTGTGAGAATAGTTGGAGTTGGTTTGATTCATTCTCAAATGTTGAAATGGTGACAGAAATCTACCTCACTGAAAAGTCTGTTACCTATCTTTCAGGTGGTCCAGCAGTTCCAGGGTCGACGCACCCCAAGCGAAGTCCCAGTGGTGTAGCCGAAGGGACAGGGCTTAAGGAGGAGAGGCTGTCAGTCCGAAAGCCAAGCACCAATACCGTTGGCTCCCGTAGCATCCCAACGCCCTCCAGTCCTATGGTTAGCTCTGCACATAACCCAAATAAGGCAGAGATACCTGACAGACGCAAGGAAGTTAACTCAACCACGGTAGGGCCAAAAGGATATTTTGTGAGACTGTTTAATCGTCCATCTGTCACATTTAGTCCCTTATCAATACAGCAGGTACAGATGGCTGAGTCCTCACAGTCCTCCTAATCCCATTTCCTCAGATTACAGCACAGCGATGCTACACTGACACAGATTTTGTGGAGACATTAACATCCTTCACAGATTAGAGAAGAGCTGAATAGTAAAACACTTACATATCTTGAGATGAATTACAAACTGATTGACCCAGCAGGGGGAACATGGAGATTATGGTTGTAAAGTAAGATTAGCATGGGAGAGAGAGAGTTTAGAGGGTGTAAAGAGTTGAAGACAGCAGGCAGATTAACCTGAGATTAACTCTTTGATGTTCTGTATATCAGATACAGGCAGAAATGAAGACCGACTGAGTTCAAACAGTCAAACTAGGAAAGTGTTTACTTATTTTACCAGTTTTGAGCTGTAACCGGGCAGGGTTGATTCACGTAGTGTCATATAAATTGTTAATAAAAGGCATAAGAAGGCCTAAACAACACATTCCCCTGCCACATCAGATTAAAACGGTTTACATATATTATTTTTTCTGATTCTTTCTCCAGAATAACATCCCTGCTAGTGCCATGACTCGAAGGAACACATATGTGTGTACAGACCGATCTAACACTGATAGACACACATTGCTGCAGAATGGCAAGGAAAACAGGTGAGAGGAGCATAGATGTGTCTGTCTGCCGGTCTGTCTGTCTGTCTGTCTTCTGTCTTCTGTCTGTCTGTCATATGTACTGTAAGAGGTAAACAATATGCCCTCACAAGACCGGTAAAGTTTGTGCCTTTGTAGAAATTTGAACCACAGCCAGTGGCTTTCTAGCTTATCTGTATAAACAAATAAGAAGCGATACTGAAGGTTTCAGCATCATGACTGTAAAATAGAGTGCCGGTTCACACAGCCTGGAGCAAATTTGAGTCTGTTTGCTGCCAGTTTTGACTTTGTGCCAGCCCTCAATTTCACCTCATCTCAACTCCCTGAAGGACCGTGAGGGTTCAGCATTGAGATTAGAATTAGGTTTGTGTTAGGGAAAGTGAAAAAACTCAACGGATTCAATTTAATGAGAACAAGCGTGGTGCATTTGTATTCTTGGCTGTTAAATGTCAGTGTAATGTAAAACCAACAGCAAGGTGAACAAGAATTAATTAATTTGAACTCCCTGTTGCATCAGATTCATAATTGTGGTAAATACAGAGTGGAAAGGGTTTGTTATATGGACTGGTTTCACTGGTACAGCTGGTCTCTTTTTGCACAGAGCTTAGAGAGTGTTTGGTCCGGGGTGTTTGTCTCACATACATTTTGTCTCTTCAAGAGAGGATAAAAGGCTTAAACTGTGCATGAGTGGGTCTGTCTGTCTGTCTGTCTATTTGTGTGTGTGTGTGTGTGTGTGTGTGTGTGTGTGTGTGTGTGTGTGTGTGTGTGTGTGTGTGTGTGTGTGTGTGTGTGTGTTTATGTACCCAATATGAACTGTCTGTTGTTGTGACAGATGGTTGTCTGCTTGTCAGTGTCGGAGCATGGCAGGCACCATCTCCTCTCTCTCTCTCTCTCTCTCTCCCTCTCTCTCTCTCTCTCTTTTCCTGTGGTCACTTTCTCACTGTCATTCTGGCTGACCTGTTTTCCATCCTTCTGTCTCTTTATCTGTAATCCTGCCTCTCAGAGGAAGTTCCTGTCTGTCGTCTGTGATCTACAGTAACATTTTCCTGCATAGGTGTGGAGGGTATCGAATGGATAAGAGACTGTTAGAGAATTTTTAAATCTAAGACTGCTGAAAGCAAGAAAGAAAAACACAGAAGATGATGGGATGTACAAATGATTTTAAAAGAGTACAATAAAGAAAAACTGTCTAGTATAGTAATGTAAAAAGTATTGAGGTTGTTATGGGTAAAAATCCTGTAGTGACGTCAGTAAATGGAACAAACGTTCACGTTTACCAGCCACGATGCTTTTAGATACTAAACCAAAAAGAGGAAAAAATATACCACACTGTAAAAATACTCAAGTACTGACTTACAAGTGAAAGTCCTGCATGAAAATGTTACTCAGTAAAAGTATAATCTGAAAAATTAAGTTAAGTTAAAAAAGTTTTAATATAATGTATTATATCATTTATTATTAAAAATTGATAATATAATAAAAGAAGAATAATAAAAAGGAGAAGCACAAATTGACTGATTAATCAACTAATTATTTCAGCTGTACTTATATATCCTGTTGGGTAGTTTATTTCATAACAACACATTATATTTTATAAGCCTTTACTTTGTTTATATGCAGAACTCTTAATTTGTAAAGTAACTAGTAATTAAAGCTGTTAAAAAAATCAGTAAAATGTAGACAAGAGGTTTCGTTCCACCACTGTTGACGACACACCTGCCACTATTACATTACAGTGAGTATTCTGGTGGGCGGCTGTGGCTCAGAGGCAGAGCGGGTCGTTCCTTAATTGGAAGGTTGTGGGTTCGATCCCCGGCTCCTAGTATCCTTGAGCAAGATACTGAACCCCAAATTGCTCCCGATGCCATGCATCGGTGTGTGAATGTGTATGAATGCGTTAGTTTCTGGTCGATGGACTTTGCCATCACTGAGTGAATGTGTGTGAAAGGGTGAATGTGGCACGTAGTGTAAAAGCGCTTTGAGTGGTCAGAAGACTAGAAAGGCACTATACAAGTACAGGTCCATTTACCATTTATTCTGCGTTGCATCTCCGTTTTATGATATAACAGGCGGAGGTTAGCAATGGAGGAATGGAGGGAAAGAGTGACAGGTGAAAGGAGAAGGGGGATGATAGGATGAGGAAAAGGGAGGGGATGGGAAAGGGAGTGAAAAGGGGAGGTGAGCAGCAGGAGCAAGTGAGGACTGGCATTGTGCCAACATAACCCTCCACTTGCCTCAGAGGCCTTGTCAATGTGATGCCATGCCAGAGTGGTTGATGGGACAAACACATGCATGGGCACGCACACAGAGTCACATTTAGTTGACGAAAATGAAAATGAAACGGTGTATACAACAGCATGTGTGTGACTATAGTTAATCTTATATTGGTTATATTAAACATACAGGTTCTTGCATTAAACGCTTAGACACTTATCTTAGACCAGCACATACTGTTGACCAGAAGCACAGTAATGTAGACAAACACAGTCCTGATGTCGAGGGGCAAAAATATCCTGCTGAGATTCTGTTGCTGAAGTGATGTGCACTTTTTTTAGATTGTATCTTGTGAAGAGTGTCATGTGTTTTTATCTACATACTGTTGAACTATTTGATTATAATCATCCTCGTCAGTCAATAATGTCACTGCAGATATATTTCCATCTTTTATGAACGAATACCTCAAACTTCTGAACTATGGTTGAGTACAGATATCTTTTTTAAATCCAGTGCAGAAGGACCGGCTGATTCAATCACCCCCGATCAACTGTTCTATTCGGGAGATGTAAATGATTTATGTACATAACTTTCACTCCCATCGTGCTGTAATGGAGAAGAAAACACTAGTTAAAGAGAGTTGAACATCATTAGTTTATCTCACCCTTTGTACACTCTTCTTCCCCACGTTTGCACCAATTCAACCTCTCATCTTACTTCTCTCCTCAAACCTCTCCACCCCTCTCTCTTCCGCTCCTCCCTCCATCCCAGTGTCCTGTCCACCCCTCCGCAGTTAGGTGCAAAACTAGACAGCTAGTGCTCATTGACGTAAAACAATTTTGCTCTGCAACGGCTGCCCTTCAACTTAACCCATCTAATGGTTGTGCCCCACTTGAGCTCTGTGTGTGGGTGTTATCTAGAGCGTTATGAAAAGCAGCCTTAGGCCACCAGCCAGTCGGACAGTCAGGGGTGGAGAGAGGTGTGTATGTGTGTGTATGTCTGTGTGTGTGTGTGTGTGTGTGTGTGTGTGTGTGTGTGTGTGTGTGTGTGTGTGTGTGTGTGTGTGTGTGTGTGTGTGTGTCTGTGTCTGTGTCTGTGTGTGTGTGTGTTGGAAATGTTGGATAAAGAGAAAGGAATTGGACAAGAAGTAGAAGTCCATGTAGGGGGCGCCCTGTTAGCTCAGTCGGTAGAGCTGGCGACCCATGTACCGAGGCCGAGTCCTTGCTGCAGCGGTCCAGGGTTCGAATCCGACCTGCCGCCCTTTGCTGTGTGTCATCCTCTCTCTCTGCCTCCCTTTCCTGGCCCTCTTAGACTGACTATCAAATAAAGGCAATAAAAAGCCAAAATAATACTTAAAAAAAAAAAGAAGTCCATGTAGAACAATGAGGGCGAGAGAGAGCATTTTGGGTCAATTTGGGTCAAGAGATTAAAGAGTAATTGTTACTCAGCTCTCTCTCACTCTCACTTACATTTTCTTTCTGTGGGTATTCATTCATCTTGAATAGTCGGATGGATAGTTGGATCTTAAGTGACCTCAGTTTAACACTATACAAGTATCACAAATTGTAAATGCACTTGTTAGAGCTCTTAATTGTCATCATAAAATCAAACAACAAAGCAAACAAAACAAGGAAACAGCAACGTGGCCAAGTACCCTTTTTTCTCATCCTGCCTTATTTAGGAGCATATCAAAGAGGCATAATTAATCATAAATAATCAGTAAGTAACTGGCCTTTTGTGTCTTTATTCTGGTTGTCTGTGGTATTAGATCTTAATTTAATTGGTATACTATAAAAACAATTACAAATAACATAAATGTGCCTTAAAGAATAAGGCTGGTACTATTCTATACTTTTCTTATTGCCAGAAAAAATGTACAATGATCCTGTTAACAAGTATTATTGTCTGTGTATCCAAAGTCTATTGTAGCAGCCTATTGTTGATTCCTCTGTGCCATTGTTGTCCAAAATCTATTAAAAACCCATCAATGAGTCACACCATTGCACTGGGTGAAATGTTCCTTGTTTATGATAAACATGGGCACTGTATTTTTTAGACTCATTACACTGTTGTGGTGCTATAAATGCTCACTAACGCACCACATGAGAACAAACTGAAACTGAACAAATGTTCAGTTAGTTCCTGTTTGAGTGATTCTGATTTGTGTGTACAATGCATTACTGTGATGATAATGTAACTTGAGACCTCTGAAGATGAAGAGACCTCTGCCTAGAGGTTTTTTGGGGAAACATACACACACACACACACACACACACACATGATTCTATTGTCTATGGAAATTATTACAAGTAAACTCTTGTTTTTTCTCCTCCTCCCTCCAGTTCCTTATCCCACCGCCTTCCCCCTGCATCCCCTTCAACCCACAGCATCGCCGGTGCCTCTGGAGCCTCCTCCTCTTCCTCCACGCCCTCCTCCCGGCTCTCTAGGGGATCCACAGTCCGGAGCACTTTCCATGGAGGGCAAATTAGAGACCGTCGGCCTCCCTCCCATGCTCCCCCAGCTTCCCCAACCCTGTCTCATGATGCCAGTCCACTGCCCCATGCCAGGACCCGGGCCACAACCAACCTGCTAAGCAAACTCACCTCCAAGTTGACTCGCAGGTAAGGGGAGAAGCCGGGAGGAAAGAATGAATTTCTGTATGAATTTAATTGGTTCAGCTTTAAAGAGGCTGCGTTTTTGCTTTCATTTAGAGGCGTGATTAAAGATAAAACGGGAAGAGAAACTCACAGAAATGAACAAATTAACCATTAACTCAGGGTTTATTGCTCATTTGCAAGTATTTTCAAGGACTGTATGTGTTTGATCATTACTGCTAACAAGTGATAGCAGACTGCCTGTACAGGCCTGTATGTTTCTAGGCTTGTAATCTGAACAGAGTAACACTCATTTGCTATAAACCTGTACATGAAGATCATTTAGCTAACCTTGCTGCCTCTCACCGTCTCTTCCTTAACCTGTACTAACCTACCAGCCTTCCTTCTCTAATAATGAATCTTTACAGGCTTCAGAACTTGTCCTCCTCCATCTCAGACCTGGGTCTAATAGTGTTTAAACATTATTCCTACTACAGTTTGTTTTACTTGCTTAAACTAGAGGCCTGTTTTTGTTAAGTTTTTCCAATCCCACACCTGCCAACAGCTGTATGCTTTCCACCCATTACCACCGGCTCCCTACAGCGTTAGCTATTGAAAATCTGTCAGTCCCACTCCAAACAAATTTTTATGAAATAGTAAATAAGTTATATGTTATGAAATATACTGAAGAAACCCCTGTTAAAGGTCTTTAAAAAGCTTGAGCATGAGGCAGTTGGGGCTAGATAAAGTAGATCAAATGTCATTTCCTTTAGCAACACATAGAAACAAGACAGACAATAGTGTTATTCATTGAGTGAGTAAAAAATGAGTCAGCGATATAAATAAAACTGAAATTCCACTTAATTTTGAAGTGGGAAGCGTATGGTTTACTGGAGGGCAATTGATACAGTATTTCAGTAGTGATGTTCACTGCTCACCCCCACCATTAATAGAGGAAAATCCATCCAGGACCAGTTGTGTTAGTCCTGAAGGATCTGCAGGAGCCGAGTCCTGCTGCAGCCCTCTTTTTGAAACCTGTCAGACTTATTTTAAATTCATGAAAATAGTTCAAATCGAATTGCGTAATCTTCTGTCATAAAGGGTTTTCCTGATTCAGTGCTACTTTAAGCTGGTACAAACAAACGATAACCTATTTGACCCAGGCCTGCTGCTCAGGTGGAGGTACTGTATGTCTTTCACAGTCTTCTCAGCTGCTTATTGTTGCTTTATCTGTTGGTTTGTTTGTTTGTTTGATTCTTTAACAACTTTTGCTTTTCCTTGCCAGTCACCTGCCAGTCTTCTATCCTTCTTTTTCCTGAACAACAGTACATACAGTTTGTACTTTTCTGCCTCTTCTACTTGTGCTTCTTACTGTCATCTCTGTTGTCTTCCCCCTCACTTGCCTTCTCTTTCATTCAATGTTTCTGACTCTCTGCTGTTAATTTTCCTTTTTCCATTCCTCTCATCCTCTCTTCGTCTCCTTCTCTTCTGCCTCTCTCCTCCTAGGGTCACTCTTGACCCTTCTAAACGTCAGAGCTCAAACAAGTCCATGTCGGGCTGCACCCTCCCACAGGGGACAAAAACAGTTAGTAAGTCTTCCTTTCCCATGTTTTCTGGCTGCTTCTGTCTGCCTGACTGTCTGCCTGCTTGCCAGTGCCCTGTCATCCCCTCTACCCTTCATTTACTGTCTGTCGCAGGTTGGAGTTTAGTTATACAAACGTTTATCTGAGGCAAAGCTACTCTTCAGGCAGGAATTTAGTCAGTGGTTGAGTTAAATTCAACCTGCAGGGTTCTGGCTCCACCAAAAGTTCCTCTGTACTACAGTGAACTGGAAGACCTCTTTTTCTCTAGAAATAGCATTTTCTAGAAATAGCATTTTCCACATTAAATGTGATTCACAGTAGTTAGTTTATTCTTCATGGAACATACATTTAAAGAGAAACTAATGATTAAAGAGAGAGTTATATTTGCTTAATTGAAAGGTGTCCTAATAGAAGTAAGCAGTATAAATAAAATATTCTAATACATTACATGTATTTTATATCCCCATATTGATATATTTTGATTTTAGATAAAGGTTTCTTGAAATTAAATTGTTTATAACCTGATGGGAAAATCTGCTTATGGCTTACCAGGTAAACTAAATTAAATACATGAAAAACCAAGCAGAGTACCTGCAGGTCAGGAAAAGTCTTAAATTTAAAACATATTGGGCGATGGGAGATGGTTGACACTTTTAAAGTGTGGGATTGTTGAGACAGTGGATTGGGCTGGAGGTTGTTCAGTCTCAGCTCCATCAGACCTGTAGTGAACACTGGCACAGCTACTGTAGGAAGCTCATCATCTCATAATGGTGATTTCAGGCAAAACTATGAATTATGAGTTTTTAATTGGTTAATCCATCCATCCATTTTCTGCCACTTCCCGGCTCCAGGTTCATTTCATTCATTACATCATTAGGAATTATTTTTGTACTTTCATACTTTGTTCGGTTTTATAGTGAAACAGATATTAAATTGCATTTTGTGTGTTAATAAAAAATTTTATGTTTAAGTTTGTGAACCCTGCAGAGAGCCTGTCAAGGATCTTAATCACATTAATGCAATAAATGAGTCCTATTACATATGATCAAGTATATATTGAAGGGATAGTTACCTCAGTTGAAATAAATATATCTTATCCTTTTACGTTCAGCTTTGGTGGTTCCTGCTTACTCATCCCAACTCAGGTCCACCCAGTTTGCTCTAATTAGGCTTTCTGTCTCCAGTAACTGACAGAGGAGGATTAGGGTAAGAAAACCCAGACTTCAAAGTACCTCTTTTGAAACTTCTAAATCAGGACATTTAGGAGTCTAAACGCTTCAGCCGAGGCTCAAAAACTAAGCTCTGGTCCGGTTTAAACCCAGCTTATTGTGACCTCAAATTCTTATCCAGAAGTTGTGGCAGTGTGACCATCAACGTTTGTTTCTTCCTATAGAGCAGCTCTATCTCTGAACAGTATGTTTATATGACTAAAACTCTAATCAGCAGCTGTCTGCCTGAATGTGTGTCTGTCTGGACTGTGTCTCTGCTGGCTGGGCTTTATGCTGTAGGTGTGCACAGCAGCACTACCTGCTTCCAACAAATCACATAACAGCATTGTTTTTATGGAACAACAACGGGTCTAAATGTGGTCGTTCTAGTTACTATTACTAGACAGTTGTTTTGAATGTTAACATTAGGTCTAATGGAGCGGTTGTCTTATGTGGACAAGAGTCACAGCTTGTTTTTAGAATAAACAACCCTAAGATGTATGCGTCTGTATTTGTGTGTCCCCTGGAGTGTGTGAGTTTGTTTCAACTCAACTGTACTAGTCTGAGTCATGTAATCAACACCATATGTTTGCCCATGCTGTTAACAAATCAGAAGTCCTACAGCAGGGCTGTGGGATCTGGGACAGACAGGAAAGGGGGGGATGGTGCTTTTATTGGTGTTTTTATACAAGACAGAGGTAGGAGTAAAGGATGAGAAAGTAGAAGTAGATAAAGAGAGAGCGGTTTATTCACTGCTTGTAATGTAATGTGCTTACATTACTTTAGGGGCAAATATTTCTCGTAGTAGTCATAATATCCAAAATCCAATAATGTTCAGTTTACAATCACAGAAGATGAACCAGCAAATTTAGATTTTAAGGTGAAACCAGAGAGTTTTGGCCGTTTTTTTTTCCTCTAAAAATTACTAAAAACAGTTATCGATCAACTAATTGATAAATCAGCAAAACATTGCAGCTCTATATACATTACTCTTTAGATATTGTATTGACTGATTTGATAGGTTGTGTCTCCCATTGTGATCACAGAGAAAGATAAGGTGTTAAATATAATGCAGGTGAACTGTGGTGCAGTTTCTAATAATGAAAAGGTGATAGCATTACAAACAACAGATTTATAAGATTAAACAACCTGTCCTAAAAAGTAGAATCGGATAGATTCATGTCTCGGTAAAAAGGTGCAATGGCTCAATAGAATTTATTCAGCCATTGTTGTAGCTTTGAACCGGTGACATTAGGAGCACACAACAGTCCGAGTCCTCTCCAGGAGCAGATGCTTGTGAGAAGCATCTCCTCCTGTACCAGTCATCCTGACTGACTGACCCAGCGTCACTGCTGTTTTAAATCAGGATTAGTTATGTAACCAGGATTTATCCCTCTCTTAAACAGGGATCTTGCACAGCTCTCCCTCAAGATACAAGCAGATTGTTCTGTTACACTGCTGCTAGCTTCTCTCTCTCTCTCTCTCTCTCTCTCTCTCTCTCTCTCTCTCTCTCTCTCTCTCTCTGTCGCACTTTCTGTCTAATTTCTCCTTCTATTCTCTCCCTCTGTCACTTTCTGCTCTACTTTTTCTCATTCCCTCACTTTCAGTCCTCTCAGCTCTCAGCCTTTATACAGATTGAACAATCTGGTACACATACTGTACAGTTTATACACAGATACTCACAAACTCAATGGACAAGAGCGTGTCCAGTCTGTCACTTATTACTCTTCACTCCCATCATTTTATTATCCCATAAGGATGTGATACCACTTGTCTTGCTCAGGGGCACCTTGGCATCAGTTTCTAAGGGAGGAGCAAAGTGTTACTCACTCACTTTCGTTACCCAGACAACAAAGGCAAGTTCATAATTTAGATAGGACACCACCAAATCTTTAGTCACAAAACATTTATATAATTACTGCTGTACAGCAGAGTACAGGCATGTATTGACGCAAGATGGCCTTAAGAAAAAATTATATAAGTAAACCTATTTGGAGGCAAATGTTCCCATCGGAGTTCCTGGAAGGAACTTTAGTTTTCTTAATCCAGCAGGAATTTGTTGCATGATTATTTGGATAACATTCATTCATAAATGTTGAGGCGTTTCCCAGTTATTTGTCTGTGCAGATTAGAAGGAATCACTCCTTGTACTAAGAGAGGTGACTCATTAGACTGCACCTAGTCAAAGGTGTATTTAGATCTAAAGCCCTGCAACAGCTCCTCAATCAGAGCGAGGCTCACATTAGAGTGGTTTTCATTTTCAGTTAAAATACTCTGTCAATGAAATCTCACTGCTGGCCCCTCCAGACCACCCCCAGTTCCTGGACTAGAGATCAGGTTGCAAGGTTGGTAGGAAAGAAAGCCCTCAGTCTACACACAGAAAATGGCAACAGTAGCCCCTGGTGGCCAAGAAAACAAAGTGCAATAAGCAGCCCCAAGCTCCATAGTGCCTGGCAGCCTGTTGGGTCGAGTATATGTCGTTTTTAGAAGATACTTTAATCGGAAGCAGCGTACGGCAGCCGTGAGCCACACCCTGCTTGTGTGTGCCATGTTAAATGCAATAGTATACTCTCTAAGAAGACTTACATAGCTACATATCATATGATTAGAAGATGAGAAGATCGACCTCGAGAAAGGATGTAATGGGGAGAACCCATGTGACTTTAATGTAATCCAGGTTGAATTGTGGCTGTAGAAGTGCATGAATCAATGAAAGATGCGCTGTGGGAGTTTTGTATGCTGCAGTAAAAAAGAAATGGGCCGTTGAAGGTTATATAATCTGTTTTGTGTCAATATACATTATCAGTTTATGTAATTATGGGATCTTGTGATCTTTTGTAATTATCAGTAATTACGTTTATAATTATTCTCATCCGAGTAGAATCAGAGAATTTCTCTGTGTAATTACTGAGCTGTAATGTAGTTCTATTCATTTTTCTACCATAAACCAAACAAACCAGTTTTATACTTAAACTTTAAGAAAAGGTTGTGATTGGATAATTTATTTCATATCCCAGGTCAGTTTTGGTTCCAAATCAGCGTTATATACTTATTATATATAATATATTAATATATTATTTGTAAAAAAAACAAAAGAACCTATGACATGTCAAAATATATATTTAGGATTTTTAAAATTAATTATTAATTGTACAGACGGCTAAATTGAGTGTGACAACATGACTAATTGGTTTCTGTCCATCAACAGAAAGAAAAGCAAGTTCCCCCAAGAGGCTCTGTAGTCTCCTAAAACCACTGACAGCAGCTAATATCAAGCGCAGACTTTTTACATTACGTTGGTCTTCACCTCTAACTCACACATATGTGCTTTAACCAGCGTTACATTGATCAGTCAGGTCTGGCTCTCTGCCCTGGAGTCACTCCCTCTGTGTTTGTTTATCCTTCTCATTTGTTTTGTTGGTGACATTTTGTTGTTGCACTTCCATCCAATGTTCCAGTGTAGTGAGCGTGGGTCGGTGTTGATCCATCTGTGATTTGAAGACGAGTTGTCATGTTCTGTGTTGTGATTGGTTGACGTGGATTGACTGACATAGACATGCTGCTAATTGGTGCATTAAAGCAGGAAGTGGAGGGGGAGGGTGGGGTTAGCTGAGTGGGGGGGGGCGGGGGGATTGGTGTGAAAACACATTAGGCCAATTGATTCCTAACAGATACGTTTGTCTTCTTCTTGAGGGTCACAGACGAACCTGAGAGAATCAGCAGATCTCCGGTCACAAGGTGAGTACGTGTTTGCATTTTTCCCACGCTGATGACCAAAGTGCAACAGCAGAATAATAGAAGTCAGCAGCATTACAAGCAGCAATTTATCCATCAATATACCATGTACTTACTTAGTAGTTTACTCAGTGAGACTCCCCAGTTAGATATGTTGTGTCCTACTGCTGTTGTTAAACGAATACTTCAACATTTTGGGATATATGTTGTATTTAGCTTAATGAATATGTCAGTTAGCTGTTTTATGGAGGGTTATGTGCTGAAATATTTGTGATCTCTACACTTCTGTCTTTGTATGGATTAAACAAACAAGATATAAGGTTAATTAGTCAGCCTTAGAGGTTCTGGTAGGCAGATTTTCTGAGCCAGGCATACTGTTTTCAGCATTTATGCTAAGCTAACCAGCTGCCTGCTCCAGCTACATATTGACAGACATGTAAGTGGAATCAATCAGCAGGAAAGCAAATTGCTGTTGCAACCTTTTTTTTTGTTTTAAGTCTCTGCCAGACTGCTACTCTGAAGGTAATTCAACTGTAGCACTTGTATATTATTCTGAGGTGTGACTGAGACGTGATCTGAAGTCTGCACTTTTCCATGTGATCCAACCGGAGAACATATTCAGCACAGATCCTGAATCATACAACTCCTGTGTGAACACTAACATTTTATTTTTTCATGTGGTGAGGACTCGAGGGAATACAGTAAAATAGAAGAATAAAAGAATGATTTATTGAAAGAAGATTATAGTATTACGGAGAAGCTCGGCTGTTCACTCTCTACATGGAGAACAATCATACACCACAAAGTACCAAAAGCCAAGTATCCAACTTTATTATTGAGATTGAACACTTTGATTAGATCACAAACTTAATGAACAGACTGTAACAGAGATGAACCATGAACCCACTCACTCATCAGTTATTATTGATTTAATTCAAGTCACAGCAAAAGCATTTCCAAGGCTTGTGAGACCACTAAAATTTTAAATCTCTTGTAGTCTCATCTTTACTTACACTGTATTTTGTCAGGGTTATTGGTCTCAGCTTATCAGTATGTTACTAAAGGTCTTGTGTACTTCCTCTCAGCCTCAGCTGCTTCATCCCAGTCTCAGTCTCAGGTTAAAATCAGCAGGTAAACCAGCAGCACCAGGCTAACATTAGCCAACAGACTGTGGTGTGACCGTAGATGTTGAGCACTGCCTCCTTGTGGTAGATGACCCCTGTGGTTAGAACCTCAGAATATAAAATACTTTATTATAATTGTGTCTATCAACAGTTTAGTCCCTGAACCTCTGCACCCTCCCGTACCAGCAGGCTGATTTCTTTTAAAGATCGTTGTATATTAGTCCTGTGATTCTAGAAAAAATGGATTTATCTGTATAGTATGTTGTTAATTATATTCATTTCATTACAAACTGGCATTAAAGAACAAAATAAATGTATAATCAATCCCAGCCTGACCCAAATCCCTCACATGAACAATTGAGTGGAGGTAGGTTTGATTTGCATATCCCTTTTAAACTGTATGAAAGAAAGAAGTTAAACAAGAAAATACACATTTATCTGTTTGTGACCTAGGTAGCTCTCTATATGTAGGAATGTAAACATCCAATAATGTATGATATTAATCTATTTTCTTCTCCTCCCCCTTTCCCTAACCCCTCATACATTCACATACATTCAACCATACATTCACTTACCTACACTTGTCTCTTCACACATCCATCTCACTTCAACTCAAATATCCATCATTCATGCTCCTACACTTATATGTGATCTCCTGCCCTCACACCTCTCCTCCTCCTCCATGCTTATTCTTTGCAAACCTTTACCTCCCTCCAACCCTCCTCCTGTAAACAACTCATATCAACCTCGCCCTGTCCTTTCTGTTTTAAATCTCCCTACATTTCCACCTCCATCTCCTCTTTGCATCGCCACTTCCCTGCCTCCTTTTCCAGTCGCCATCTATCTGGGCATCAGAAAGCGGCCGAGCCCCGGACCCCCCGATGCGGCTGGGATGTGAGGGTGCGGAGCCCCCGCGACCCGGCCGAGGTGGTGCTAGCGCTGCGTGAGGCGGCGCAGGGCTGCGGCTGCCAGGTCCACCTGGCCGGGCCTTTCCTCCTGTCCTGCACCCACGGAGCAGCCGGCGCCCGTGTGGCCTTCGAGGCCGAGGTCTGCCAGCTGCCCAGCGGGCTGGGCCAGAGCAGCGGTGTGAGGTTCAAACGCCTGTGGGGGGCACCGTTAGCCTTTAGAGACATCGCCACCAAAGTGTCCAAGGAGCTGGAGCTCTGAGGGCAACAGGAGGCGGGGCAGATTGATGACAGACAGGACAAGTTGATGAATGAGGAGGTAAGAGGAAGAGGAGGAACAGCGAGGCAGAAACCCTCGCCTCCTCCTCTTCCTCCCTGGGCTCCACCTCATCTAATGCGGCTAGCGATGCCTCGCCTCCGCCAAAGACCCTCTTCTTCTGATGCCACCAATCACAGCCAGACAAACGGATGCACAGACACGGATAGACCGCCATCGGCAGACTTATGATGACCCTTGACCTTGGAGCTGTCAGTGACCTACGACCCCTGCTTAAAACACGCCACCACCTCCATATTATGTGAGCCCGCGGAGTCAAACAGTTGGGTTTGTTTTTTCTTGATTTAATGTTCGATGATGATACGGATGGTGTTGCTGAGAATGATGGAGATTGTTGTTGTTGTTGTTGACATTGTTATTCCTATTCTATCATATTTGTCATCATTCCTTTTTAAAGAGCTGCTATTTAAAGATATGTTTTAATTTTTTTGTGTAATAAGTTTATTTTCTTTCTTTAATGCTTTTAAAAATGGGCAGAAGTTTGACATCTGTTGTCATTTCTCGGCAGCAGACGTCACATATTTAAGAAGTCAGGGCGCAGTCTGACCTCCGGCCTCTAGAGGGAGACATGCAGAAATGCAGATACTGAATGAAGCATCAAAGCCTTTCTGACCATCCATTAACGCCCATTTTACTTCTCAGTTGGGATTTTAATGTTTGTACCATTTCTGGTAAAATGTTGCTCCTCTGTCTGCTATCCATACTGAATCCTCTGCTGTGTATCGATAGCTGGCAGGTGAGCTGCTTACAGACGGACCCCGATAACTTGATCATTTGAGCTTAAGCTCCGCCCCTAACAAATACTCAACTTCGCCCAGTGTTTTATCCCTCGCTACCTTTATTAACAAGCAAAAGTCCTTTAAAAAAAAAAAAATTAAAACAACATTTTGTTGGTTTAAAGTACGAAGTAGAATGTTTTAGAAGTCCAACAGGAATTGAGATCATGATGTTACTGTATTTACGTTTCAGGAGGTTCTGAGGATGTTTGCAGGCAAAAAAATGGCCTCCACATTATTTTACTTGAAATGCCTCCAAACAGGAGGTTTAGTTTAAATTAGAAAGCAGGTTGTAACAGCCAATCACAACACATTATTCAGAGTGCTAATGTAAGTGCAGTTCAATTCAACAAAATGAAAATTCAATGTTTTTAGCACATATCGTATAAAGTCACAGAGTTAAAATGTTATTAAAAGAAATCAACAAATTGGCTGTCCTAGTTTTTATCTGATATGATGGAAATTTAACACAATATGGTACAAAAATACACATTTTCACTCTTTTTTTCCTCCAACGCCAAAGCAGACGTACTTTAAAAACCTGATGCAACATTAGTTTAAAGGCCTTTTCTTCTACATTACTTTGGTTCATTGTCAAACTGTTAAAAGACAAAGAGCAACAGATTTTTCTTCAGCTTTGAGTCCCAGTGGACCTTCAAACTTTTTCATTATAATTTAATCTCTTTTTCCAAGACATTTTCCACACATGATTACAATAGCTCGTACTGGTTTGGAGTAAATGGAGGAGTAGGTTACTCTGGTAGCACTTTGGCATAACAGTCTCACAGTCTGTCAGACAACCATCGCCATTGCTTTCCTCAAATGTAGTGCAATACATCCACACAGCCAAAAATCAAGACTAGAATAAGCATTGATTAAGACTTAATAGGGCTCCTTGTTTGATTTTATTTTTTAATTTTTGATATTGCTGATTTGTTGTTAAAAATCCAATGAGCACTTTTGCTTTTTAGCCAGGATTGCAGGGTTTGTACTGTACTGGCAGAGTTTTACTTCATCTGTATGTTTCTTTTGTAAATTGTTTAAAAACTCAAATTGTCTCACATTTAAAGCCCACTGCCTTTCTTTTCCTTCACTTACACTTTGTCGTTCACTTCCCACAGTGAAACCAGCTGTAGTGATGACTTCAGGTTTCCAGTTAGAGGTGCCGTTTGATTTTGAAGTCATGCCACAAAGTAATTTGGTACAAATGAAGTACCAAAAGTCATTCAGCGCCATAAAGTACTGTCAGAAGTACTGTTTTCTTTTACCCAATGTTGCATTTATTTTTAACTTCAGTGACACTTTTGATATAAGGAAACTGTAGACTTTTCCCTCTGTCGACCAATCAGGCTGCAGCACTGCTGAGACATGTATGACTGTTCACCAATCAGATTCCATTATGACTTAAAGAGATATATGACTGTTAACCAATCAGACTCCTGCCTAATCAATGAGAATGTGACCTAATGAGAAACTCGATTCTTGCTCATTACAGAACAAAGTGCTACATTCATCGTGTATCGACACTGACGACTCCAAAATCAAAAGGTTGTTGTACTCGTATTGTAACTCTATAAAGCCAAGCAACTATTACTTGTACTTCTGAAGTATGCAGCATCTAACAAAACAGATATGATACAGCAGATGTGTGATCTTTACGGCTGTAAGGTCTACAGGAATTTGTCTGTTCAGTGGGAAATTTCAGCCACAGGTGTCCACCACTGTCTGAAAATGTGAAGCTGTGATTTAGGGCTAGTTTTTTTGTTTTGTTTTATTTGTGTATAACTGGGCCTCACTCTCTGAACCTGTTCTGTAGATACAGTTAGGGCCATGCTTTAAGGCTACATTTCTGTTGTATAGTGTGTTTGAAGCCGTTGCTGTTATCAACAAAACTTAACTTATGGGCTGAAATTACAGAAATGATCGACCTGCAATCCTGCATGTCTCCTAGGAAATAATGTGTGACACAAAAATAAAGACTTTCAACCTCCTTAATATTTGTGTGTATTTCTCATGCTATAATGATGCCAACATGAGTTCCTTTGTGTTATTGTATGGTGTTTTTTTAAGATTTTGTTCCCTTGTGTGAAAAATTAAAATGCACTCTTTGTTCCTGTGAGAAAAACTGCACACATCACTGTCAATCTGTTAAAAGATCCACGTGTTTCCACATAAATAAAACATGAGATAGAAGGTTTGATTGTTACATGGGGCATAATTTAATTGTCCAGTTAGATTTTACAACCAAAAAAAAAATTATTTAGGTGTGTATACATAGCCATGACCAGACTATGCATGGATTGATCCCAGGATGTTACAGAGAAGATGGGGTGAGATGATTGAACTGATAACCAAAGATGAAGCAGGAAAGGAAAAGATGAGTGAGGATAACAGAAGTAAGTAAGAAAGGAAGGAGTAGAGAGTGTCTTGAAGGAAAGAAGTATGCAGAAAGTAGCCAGTAACTTTACAACAAGGCTACCCGTTCATTTTTTATAATATAAAAAAACAAACACAGACAGTCATTCAGTCATTGGTTGTCTGTCCACTTTACTTCTGGGCGGGGATCATGCCATCGATGGACTCTCCCTTCTCAAGCTTCTTCTCCATCTCAACCATCAGCTTGACACCGTCAACCACCATCTGGACCTGGTCCACCTCAGAGGAGCCCAGGCGGTCAGCGTTGGAGATGTCGAACACACCACCCACGGAGGCTGTGTCCACACCACCTGGAGGGGAAAGAAGGGGAGAAGAATAAGTCCTCTGTCAAAAGTAGCATAAGGAGGAGAAACTATGACCCCATTCCTGTCAGATATACGTATTATCTCCTGAGATAACTGGATATATATATATATAGAGAGAAATATAATGCAGTTAAACTAAACTTTAGTGGATAAGAAATCATGTTTCTGATTAAAGAAGATAATTAAGACTTTTTTTCTACAACAAGTACATTTCCTTGAACATGGAAACTTTATTGAGAAAATGAACATACATCTCCCACTAAAAAAAGTCCCTGAGACTGAGGTGACATTGTTGACCCAAGCTACATGGGTGGAGTTGTCTGAATATGGAGGTAATAAAGTGGGGAGATAATACCTGAAACAAATGCTGCCAATCATAAAAAAAGCCTTTTAAGTCTTCCTAATCCTAAAACCTAACTATGGTAACCTTTTTATGATAGTAGCTATTTGTAAGTTTAGAAATTGGATATGTATGAATTGTTAGTGTTTTGACCAGTAACATTTTCCAGTACATTTCCTAATATGTGTTTGCTACTAAATGTTTTCCTTTTTTTAAGTACCTGTGCCACGCTTCTGCAGACGCAGCCTGTTCAGGATCTCCTCGAACTTGGCATGTGTGCTGAGCTTGGGCAGCTTGACGTGCACACCACCACGCAGACCAGTTCCCAGATTGGAGGGGCAGGTCAGGATGTAACCCAGATGCTCGTTCCACATGAAGCCGTGGTTGTGCTTCTTGAAGATCTCCTCAATCTGACCAGTGAGGAGGAAAGTGAAATAAATAATGCGTGATGGTTAAAATATAACCAGATGCATGTCACTAAATCCTAACTTTTAACACTAGTAATAAATTAAACATCATGCAGTTGTTTAACATCCATGAATCTTTATAAGTACATGGTATAATATTTATACCATGTACAAAATTACAGCACAGCCAGTTGCATCGTGCATACTTAAGTGTCTGCATAACTGTGTGTTTATGTGACATTATGCATCCATGTTTTTGTGTGTTACCTTCTGCAGGCCAACGCAGAAGCGTCTGAAGACCTCCTTCATGTTGCCTCCCTTCTGCATGGAGATGACACGCAGATGATCCTCCTCGTTCACCCAGACCAGGAAGGTCTTGTTCTCGTTGTGCCTGGAGGAAGGAAATCCAGCTCAGTTTCACTTCATTCATTCCCATATAGGACAAAGTGTTCACGAGCCATTTAATACTACAATGTTACACAAATACGATTTAACATTTTGTAGAAATGTTTCTCAACGTGCCTTTAACCCTGATTAAAACAGTAATCCTGATAATGTGAATGATCTGAGCATCACGGTGCAGGATTTACACAATGTCAAGCCACTGAAAGGGGCAGTGAATGCTGCAGCTGAACACACTGTGCTTTGGTATTCATGACACACTTTAACAGATGTATGAAAACAGGAATAACCAGGCCTACCATATTAGGGGTGTGGGAGAAAAAGACAGATGGTGGAAGTTTTAAAGGGTGGCTTTGGAAGGGCAGATGGGAGATTTTAGCTCAGAGGGTGGTCGTTTGTTTACTGACTGTTTCTGCATTTACACTGGCACAAAAAAATCTGATCATCTTTTTGCTTTCCAAATTAGGAGAATCCCAATAAAGTCTATAATATTCTATTTTATTTCCAGGTGTGTCTCTCACCAGATGCCTCTGCCGTCGGGCCAGTCACGGGCCATACCAGCGCAGGTCAGCAGGGGGGACACGGGCTTGTCAAACAAGAAGTGATCAGCAATCAGCTGCTCCTGCTCGGCGTCGGTCATGCCGTCCAGGGGGTAGTACTTTCCCTTGAACTCACCTTCCAGACTGGCCAGGGCTGGACAGAGGAAAAGGAGTCAGTCTCTGACAATTATATCATGTGTTCTACAAACATTTGCGTTAGATTGTTAGATTGGTCATTGACATTCACCCTCAATTGACAGCTTCTCAATGCCTCTGCGCTCTCCACGGCTGTTGTGGGGGGGCAGGGTGAATCCCTTAATGCTGCGGCCGGTACGCACACGGCTGGACAGCACATAGTTGGGGTCCAGGTCATCACCACCCTGAGAGAAGGAGAAAGAACATTATTAATGTATTATAGCCATTGTTTTTAATCTCTTATTTACAAACTTTTTTGCTTCACCCATGAGGGATTGGATTAATGTTGATGTTTACCTATAAAAACACTACAGCTTGTTGCTTCAGAAGATGTATTTAAAGAATGTATTAATATTTTGGGAGAATAGCCAGCAAGTAAACTTAACCTTAAATGGATTTGGCCATAAAAGTTATTATTTTACACAATTAATTAAGGCTATCAGAAATCAACAATGGGGAATCAGCTGGGCTTATTTACAACAATACTATCATGCATGTCTTGACTCCTCACCTTCAGGTTCTCGAAGTTCAGGTCGGTCTTGTGCTTGTCGGTGGGCTTGTATCCGCTGTGACGGTCGGAGATGATGGGGTCCAGCAGATCCTTGAAGACCTCATAGGACTCCTCATCACCGGCAACGCAGCCCACGGTCATGATGAAGGGGTGACCTTGGGGACAAGAGGCAGGATGAGGAAGTTGGTAACATTGTTAGCTAGTTCAACTTTGAGAAGTTGTTATGTATGTTTGTGGGGTAATACAGATGTTGATGTGTTTTTGTTGTTGTATTGAATGTGAGGTCCCTGTATCACTGTGTAACTTCCTGGCATATAACTATTAACTTGGTAGTACTGAAAACTTCAGCCCTAAAAAAAATGTCACCTTAGAGGTACTGATGGATGCATTGTTGGGTTTAGAGGCAATCCATAATCATAACATAACATAATGACATAATCATAACTCATATTTGACTACAGTGTTTGCTTCAGTTCATTTACGTCTCCTCAGACCCTATCTTTGCTGGTGTGTGTTCATCTCTATGCTGATGACTTGCTCCTTCTTACCTGGGTTGTCAACACCAGTCTGGATGACGTCATCCAAGGTGAAGCCACTGGGGGTGGACTTTCCCCTCAGCTTGCCATAGATATCCTTGGTCAACACCTACAGCAGCAATTATACAGTCACATGATATCCTCTGTAATTTAAGTTGTTTTTAAGTATCTTAATAAAACAATGAAAAAAAGACTAATCTAGCAATGCTGAAAGTTACTGGTGCCTGTTCAGGATGTTTTGGGTGGCGGATAGACACACGTCAGAGTAGGATTTGTACCTTGGCCATGTGGTTGTTGTGCAGGGAGAGGTCGGGGAACTCCTCGTCCACAGAGAACTTCATTTTGAGGTCATTGTGGCAGTTTTTCGCCATGGCTGCGATTCTTACTCCGTCTGGGAAGGGACAAGAAAAAAGAAAGAGAAAGAGAGTGTTATTTCTCAGAATCTGCAATGCTTGTAGACTCATTTGGTGAGACTACAGTACAAGAGAGGAGAAAGCTATTTTATATACTTTTTTATTAGCCACATGTATTCTTCAAATATCATGATGTTTTTGAATACCCTTTTTCTTTTCTGGCATTTCTCCAAGTTTTTTAAGTGCCTTGTCAATTAGTCCTCTGGCGAAGAGGAGACACCTTCTCATACTGTCTCCCTTTCTTACTTTTTACCCTCTGTCAGCTGTGCTGTCTACATGCCTGCTGTCCTGCCTGTCTCTCCCACCACCTGTCTTCCTCTCACAGTGCAGAGTATTAATAGTGTGGCTGTGCCCCCTCCTGTCCTCCACCCCTCCCATTTCTGCAGAGAGCTACAGTTTCCAGCACATTATGATGAATGATTTTCTCTTCTCTCTCACTCCATTCAGACTCAGATTAATGCAAACTTAGTGGCAGAGGTGCACTACAATACGTAGCTAGCAGAGAAAGCACTTTGGTACCAGAGGCAATAAAACTTTTAAAATATATCAACATTTTAAAGACTGAAAATAGCACAAAAATGGTAATGCTTAAAACTACAAATAGTTATTATGGTAATATTTGGTCATGGGTTTTTTTTGTACAATGCAATTGTGTTTGAATTGAACTTAAAAACCTCTTAGAGAAACAAAAAAGATGTATATTCATTCCCCAACTAAAATGCAGAGCCAAATCTACAGCTGCAGAAACACTCAGAACAGACGTGTGGGGTCAAGAATAGCTTTACAACTGCCTTCATGGCCGTCATTTTGTATCTATTTACAAGCGGATCTCTCTCTCCGTCCGACAGAGTGCAAGACTCCTCCAGTTGCTTGATTGACAACACCTGGTACACTGAAAGGTCAGAGCACTG